GGACTTAGCAAGTAGGTTAATAACATCTATAAGCCATACAAGAACCTCAGTTATCCCCACTGCTAACCTTCTTACTAAGTCCGCATGACCTCCCGAGCAAACCCTAAGCCTGAAATTCTCAACCCTAAACCTTAAAATCCTAAACCCTGAACCTTAAATCCTCTACCCTAAACCTTAAACCCTAAACCCCGAAACCTTAAACCCTAAGGTCCTAATCTTGCTTCAATGGTTCGACTCCGAAAATTGGCCAGTTCATGCTGTCCACAGGAAAACAGAGACTCCAGCACCCTCAGGGTTTACGCTTTTTAGAGGATTTAGGATTTAGGGTTTAGGATTCAGGGTTCACCTTTGGGATTTGGGAGGCTTTGGGCCGTAGGGTTTACGAACCCAAGCCTTAACCCCAGCCCAGTAACACAAAAGAAATAAGCTGTGCGCCCTACACCCTGCGCAAGTGACTGTTCTGAGCATAGCAGCGCAGCAAATCTTCCAGTAGGAACGGCAAGGAACATGGAAACAACTGTACATGCTTCCCATGACCCTATATAACCCGAAATAAGCCCTTTGTAACCCCTATATCCCCTGTAAAGAGTACCCGCATTTTTGGGAAACCCCCAAAGCCTTGTGCCCGACACCTCGATCCGCAGGAGCCTTCCTTGATCTGCCCGGCTGTGCCGTCATTGATCATCCCCCTCAAGATGCTCGGGCTTCGGGTTTAGGGGTTTAGGGCTTGTGTTTTAGGGTTTAGGGTATGGAGTCTAGGGTTTAGGGCTTAGGGTTGAGGGTTCAGGGTATAGGGTTTAGGGTTTACGGCTTAGGATGTTCGAAGCAAGAGTAGGGAATTAGGATGTTCCCGCGGTAGCTTATGAAAAGACAGTGTAGTTTTGTACATCGGTATCATGTAAGTATGTCGCAGACATGTATATATATATAAATAGATATCTACACATGTAAGTTATCATATATACATAGATGTCTGTTCATGGACCATGCTGGGCTTCAACTTCCTGATTTTAATGCACACAAAGGTCGCGGCGATTTGGGGTCAGGAAAGAGTAGGGGAGTCTGGAGGGCCCTTACTTGCAGGGTCATGGGGACTTGGCAATTAGGCTAATAACATCTATAAGTCATATAACATCCCCAGTTATCCCTTTTATATGAAACCTATTACTAATTCCCCATGACCCTCCAAGTACTTCAGTAAGGGCAGTGCGGTGTGGATCAGGGAGGGCTTATCATTGTTGATTTGGAAATGATGACTGTGGGTACATTCCCACATTCCCTACTTTGCGCCGCGCTGTTGGTGTGGGTCAACCTGAAATCCCGAGAGCATGTAGAGTTTAGGGTTTAGGTTTAGGGTATTTCTCCGACATGGCTCTGTGAGGCCACTGCAAAGCCCTAGAGATGTTCTTACTGCCACGCCAGTGCGAGTAGTCTTGTCAATGGAGATACTATGGTCCCAAATGAAGAATAAGAGCGTCATTTTTTCCTATCTTTTGGTTCCCCAGACCCCAGGGAGGATCTAGAAAGTAGATTCTTGCAAGGGTTCCTAGATACTACCCACTAGTAGTATAGGGTACCATATTAGGGGTTCTACTTTCTACATCCTCCCAGGGGTCTGGGTATAGTCTTTCACATAAAACCGTCTTTCGCCTTGGTCTTCCCGCCAACAAAAACACAGAAACCCTAAATCCCGGCTAAACCCTCAAGCACGAAGCCCTAAACCACTACTCATGTGAAGTAGGGTTTTTATTATGGTCTTTGGTGAGTGTATATAGGGTTCCCTAGGAATATTGGTGAGTGTATATATTTGGTGTCCAATTTGGGGGACCTTATATAAAAACCATGGGTCAATGTGAGCTACTGTCAATATGAGCCTCACTAGGGGTCTCTCTTGTAGTTCAGTAGACTGTGCAATGTAGTCCCAACTAAGGAATGCAACATCCAATAAATCATTTGGGAAATATACACTAAACCTTATGGAACAACGAAAACAAAAACAGAAATGTCCATTAATTTATGTAGGAAACATTGACTGTAGCTCATGTGAATCAAAATCTAACGTCCTTCAAGGGGGTCATATAGGGGACTGCTATAGGGGTTATGAAGGGGGATGCTAGGAGTTTAATCCCTAAACCCTAAGCCCTGAGCCCTAAACCCTAAACACTAAACCCCACACTATAGGGGCTTATTCAGGGAGATGCTAGGAGTTTAGACTTTGGCTCATGTGAAGCTTGGTGGACCAGGCCAGAGCTGGCATTCCCGATGTGCTGTCCGTTGCTGTCAATGTTGGCGTTTAGGGTTTGGGGGTTTAGGGTTCAGGGTTTGGGGGTTATAGTCCCCTCGCTAGAAGTCATAAGGAATTCCAAGACATCATAATCAGATCCCCTTAAAGCCCATATTCTATCTGCTGAAGGTGGATCACCGTTTTTTTATTCTCTAGAAATAAAGACAGCCGCTGTCAGTGCCACTACCTTTTGCTTACCAAAGTTGTAATCAAATGGGAGCCGCAGTCCATTTGCTTTAAGATAGCCGCTTCTCGTTCGCACCGTTGTGTCTTTGAATGCTGTCCTTGCCATGTCACCACGATATTGTTTTTGCCCTAGAACTAACACGTAAAACCTTACCCCACCCCCTCCCTCCCCGGCAACAACACAAGCCCTGAACAACTAAATCCCCCAAAGCCTAAACCCTAAACCTCTAAACTCTACGGTCCCCCTAAGTAGATAGAATATGGGGTATATGAGAATCCTATTATATACCCAAAGCCAGATTCTATCTACTTAAGGAGGATTATAATCCTAAACCCTAGACCACCCTAAAGGTCACCAATTGAGGTCACCACTTGAGATGGCTCCAGCCACCTCCTAAAACAGGAGGGAAGCCCCACACTCCAAGCCAGGTTATGACCCAAGAGCCCCAAGCTCAAGACTAGAACAAAACTGATGCCAATGCTATCTATGGTTCTTGTGAGCTGCAATGATGCGTATACCTTGCTTCGAAATTTTTCGATTGACTCTTACCAGGCTTGAGCCTAAACTCTAAGCCCCAAACAAAAAAACTCTAAACCCTCATCCCTAATCCCTATCCCTTGAATCCTAAAGCCTAAAGACTAAATCCCAAAGCCCTAGTCCCTCCATGATTCCCAAACCCTAATTAATCCCTGAACCTAAACCCTGAACCCTAAACCCTAATCCCCAAATCCTAATTAATCCCTGAACCCTGAACTAAACTCCTAAGCCATGCCTCCGACAGCAGCTAAGGAAAGCCCTGAACTCGAGGGACCGGCCGGGGTTGAGCACAGGGTAGGGAACCACCCTAGGTGAAACCTCTCGTAGCCTTTAGGGTTTAGGGCTTTTATAAGCTAATTCGTTGAGGATTGGATCTGAAATTTCATCACACTGGAGCTCAGCAACGGATGAGACATGTTGATTTTCAATCGTATCGTGATAATGCAGAGCCAAGTATAGCCAGGTAAAGACTATCAGTGATAGCAGTAGCCAGTGGTGGTTCTTAGTCTGCTTACTTAGTTGCGGACTTGGCAATGATTTGCGAATTGCTCGAAAGTATGGTTCCCTTGACTCGGGTTTGAAGTTTAGGGTAAACGGGTGTTTTCGGGACCTGAAAAGCACACACGGCGCGAATATGGTGTGAGAAGCTACGCCCCGGTTGCCAAAGAGGAGCTTGAGGTAGGTAGGTGGACTTAGATGCTGGGATACTTTTTCTGGCAAGACTTTCCGAACCACTTGCAGAGAAGACCCTAAACCCTAAACCCTAAGACCCTAAACCCTAAGACCCTAAACCCCAAACCCTAAACCGCGTGGCCAGAATGATAACAAAAAGTAGGAGCCTAGCTCGCTACCAATTTGTTTATCCGTCAGTATCCCCAGGCAACCATAACATCCCTGCCCCTGATAATAAACCCTCCACATCCCTAATATGCAGGGTTTAGGGTTTAGGGTTTAGGGCTCAATATGGTACCACTATATACAAGGGGGTAAATTTGTTATCAGTGGGTTGGAGGTCATTCTTAGGGGGAGATGGTTACAATACACTGAAACGCTATTCCACTCAAATAGGCCCCTACATTGCAACAAGGAAAGGGCCATGCATTCACCTGACGTCGTAAGAGTTCAGAGGATGAACACGGATGCGGAGTGGAAGTCTCTTAAATTATCCTCTTCATGGTTATAATCCCCCTTAAGTAGCTAAAATATGGGGTATATGGGGATCGTATTATAATATACCCAAAGCCATATTCTATCTACTTAAGGGGGACTATATCCCCGAAGATCAGGGCCCCCTTGTTCTACATGTTGCCCATGATGCAGAATGGGTTCGGATAAATGCAAGTGGCTACTCTAGGCATGTTATAATGAACATCCTCATAAATGTACGCGTATCCCAAAAAACTCCATCCTTGTTCGAGACCCCCCAACCAGGACCCGCCAAAAATTGTGGATACCAGAAATTACTCTAGAAGGCCCCTAAACCCTAAACCCTAAAATCTCAAGCCTGAAACGCCACTGCCAGGACATTCCAACCATGTGCAAGGCCATCAACACACTGCAGCTCATGCTGAGGCAACCCTAGCAGGTTTTCATTGCTAGGATTGAAGTTAGTGGTTCAGACAAGGAGAACACTCAAGTTGCAATATGATGATAGCCGACAGTCTCTTCGAGTTTTTCCTATGTAGCCAGGCTAATGCCCACAGTTATCTTATAGTTGGGGTTACCTGGACCCTGGACCCCCTTCCCCCCCCCACAGTAGGTAATGTGATAGCATCTTTGATCAGCTTTAAGGGTTTGAGGCCATCATGTTGCCTACCTTGGGGTCTGGGTATCAGCTACGCTTGTGTTGCGAAGCATGCCAGCCTGTTTCTAATGTGTCTTCCCACTCGCTTAGGTCAGTCTCATTCTCAATTTCTGGAAAGTCGTGTATTGAGGTTAGGGTTCAGAGTTTTACGGGTTACGCACGCAGTATTAACAAAACGGGAGACATGGTGGAATGCTAACAACAAACTCAACTTGTGTCCATTTGGTCCGTTACTGCGTATTGATTGTACCTTCTCTGAGATCCCTTCAATACCTCCCCCCCCCCAGAATGATCATGGCTTGAAAGACCATCACACAAGGATCAGGAGGTTAGGAGGCATAACAGCCAGCTGAATTCATGATAGGCAGAAGCGGAGATATGGTACACACATGAGGAGCATTTCTGCTCCTCAGCCACGAGCCGGCCCTAAGTGCTAGCCCTTTCCGAGAAAGACGAAAACAGAAAGTCCTCAACCCTAAGCACTAGAGAAGGGTTTAGGGCTTAGGTTCCCGGGTCTAGCAAGTGCAACCCACAACCTGGAACTCCGAAACTCCACGCCTTTCACCTCGCCCCAAACCCAGCGACAAAATCCCAACAAGGTACGGTGTGAACCGCAGGTCAGATGAGCCATTGACTCGTAAAAGAACTGCTGCCCGAAACGGCATACAAGGACCAAAAGAGTAGTGGTCCATGTTCTGAGCCACACCAGAATCCCAACTCCAACCCCGAAATCCTAAATCCTCAATTGAGTAGTGTTTTTTCTGGTTGAACCTAGTAAGGTTATATTCCTTATATACGATACTATACCCCAAAAGGAGGATATAATCTTACTCTATATAGGGTACCATAGTATCCCCAAAAAACACTACTCAATTGTCAAACCTACGCCTGACTCCTGCATGCAGGAGCCTCTTACCCTCAATCACCAAACCCCTAAACCCTAGAATCTTTAAACCCCTCAATCCTAAATCCTAAAACATGCATCCTGAGCCCTAAACCATCAAACGCTAATTCCTGAAATCCTCATGCCCTTTTACCCCAAACCCTAAACCCTAAACCCAAAACCCTAAACCCTAAACCCCTAAACCCTAAACCCTTAAACCCTAAACCCTTAAACCCTAAACCCTAAACCCTAAACCACCGAGGTCGGAGCCTAGAGTCGGCGAGCTACTGGTGCCATACTACCGGCAGCTGTTGCCGGTCAGGGTCTCAGGTTTAGGGGTTTAGGGGTTTAAGGTTTTAGGGGTTTAGGGGTTAGGGATTTAGGGCTTAGGGTTTAGGGTTCAGGGTTTTAGGTTTGAGGGTTTAGGATTTCGAGGGGATTCAAGGGACCTAGCCTCCCCTGGTATATTCAAAGGACCTAGCTTCCCCTTGTATACACCCCAGCCCTAAACTCTAAAACCTTAAGAACCCTTGACCCTGAGCCTTAAACCCTAAACCCACCATAGGGATAAGGGCTTCGGAAAGCTAAACATGTTCAACCGCACAGGTGTTCACAGCGTCCCCCGCACTAGGGCCTGAGGTTTAGTGCTTGTGGTTTGGGGGATGCGGGGGCTTGCTGCTGAGAAACATTTGCCGCTCTATAGGCATTGCACACGGGTAGTTTAACCTTCAACCCTACTAGCTATGGTCTAAACTCCTAGTATCCCCCTTAATAACCCCTGTAGTAGTCCCCTATATGATCACCTACATAATTCCTTTAAGGAGTTCAGACTATATATACCTCACATAAAGAGCGCAGGGATATTGCTGGGTCTCAGGTCTGCCGAGGGTCTGTGAGGACAATCCATGGGATTTTTGGTCTTTCCTCTTTTGCAGCATTGGGAGAACTCCAAGACTAAGGAGAGTCGCAGCAACAAGGAGATCAATACTTTCGGGTTTAGGGTTTAAGATTTTCATCATATGCGCCCCTAAACCCTAGACCCTAAACCCTAACGCCTAAACCCCCTAGTAGTAGTAGAACCAACCCCATATCCAAGCCTCCAGACATGAGAAGCGAGTTCAGCATGGCCAAGAGGGCCCGAACGGAGCATGGATGCCTTTCCGTGTCACCTGGGACAACATGGGTTTAGGTTGGTTGGTTGGTTGGTTGGTTGGTTGGTTGGTTGGTTGGTTGGTTGGTTTAGGGTGTAGGGTTTAGGGGTTTAGCGCTCAGGGGTTAAGGTTTAGGGTTTAGTTTAGGCATGCGCCTGCCCCCTCAAACACACAGCTTCAGATGGATTTGAATGGGGCTTCTTCAAGTTGGTGACTTTCGGAGGGTTCGATTACATTGTGATTACACTACACATGAGTTCATGTTGACCCAATGGAAAGAGTTTGCGGACGAGTGGTATCTTGATGGGGGTAGCATTGTCTTCAACACAATGTAAAACAAAATTCTCCTTGTGGGTATAGTATTCTAGAACCCGAATAGATTTAAACTCTAAACCCTAAACCCTAAACCCTAGACCTTAAACTTGAGAGGTAGTGGTCCCAAACCTCCCCCTCAATCCTCGGACCCTACTAGGTCGTGGATTCAGCGGGGCAACCTGCCACTACGCCATACCTTTTTGAGTTTCTTGGGTTACTCCAGGTAAAGCCTCTTACTATTACTGATATTATGTAATTGCCACTACCAGTATGACTAGTAACAACAACAACAACAACTACTACTACTACTACTACTACTACTACTACTATTCTTACGACTATTACGAGAAATGTTACTATCCATTCCAGCTCTGTTTTTTCAGGCTTTCAACCTCTACTTCCGCTCGACCAAAAACATCGGGGATGCCATTGACTACTCTCAGCGAAAGCGCGAGAATGTTGGCGAGCTCATCGCCGTCGGCCCCTCAGGGACATTCCTCAGATTCAGATACCCTCACCATAAGGCCCTCGCACAAAAAGACTGTATCAAGCATGCACTGTAAAAGAAGACAGTAATCAGTCTCCCTTTACGGTCCGCGTTAGTTTCAGTGAGCCACAAACTATGTTTTACTATGTAAGACTTTCTAACTTCCTGGTGGGGGGCGACGCTCCAATTGGGGGACTACTCCAATCGAACGACATTGCTTCAGGCATTTGGCTCTGAAGTACGGGCCGCCTTGTATAAAAGGGTTCTAATGGGAACCTCAAGCAGGGAACCCCAAGAACACAGTGGGAATATCATAGTTTATAAGGACCCTGGTAGGTATATTCCTATTATATTCCCACTATATTCCTGAAGTTCCCTGTTTGGGGTTCCAAGTACCTTGTACGCTAGAAAGCAGGAGGCTCCGTTCTACATGATATGACGTCTATGTAGTCACATGTAGCCTATGCACCACCATAGGACGCCCGGGAAGGGTGAATCCACAACCCTAAACCCTAAACCACTTGCCCTAAATCCACTGCAGGAAACTCTCGAAATCCTGGAGAGAAGCGGTGGCGAGGATGCTTTCATCAACATTAAGTGCCCGAGCTACAAGTTAGGGTTTAGGGTTTGGGGTTTAGGGCCTGAAAAATAGAACAGGAGTCAGGGTTTGGGACGTGGCAGCCCGAATTAGCATCAGCGGAGAACTCTGGAATTCCCACACCACAGCTCTAGTCGTTCATCATGGTCAAGATGCAGTCTTCCAAGTCTTCCACCTGGGTTCAGCTTAGAGCCTCAGGTCATTTGCCGGTAGCATTTGCTTCGGAATCATCTTGAAAGTTACTACCTGCCCCAAGCAATTATGGAATCTCTAGAAGACTTTACAAAGGCTACCGTTTGTTTCTAGGTGCTTCATTGGCCTCCATGTAGCGCTCGGAGGGTATCATGATTGCTCCAAGCATCATGCTCCTAGAGGCCAGCATTGCTGAGGATGTTGTTCCAGATGATCATACAACACGCCTACCTGGACTCCAAAAATAGGTAGACATCGTTCAAAGCCCTGAAGCACAGTCAGCAAGGCTTCTATTCTGCATACTTCGGGGCTCCAACTCAAAATCCTAAACTCAGACAAGGACACAGGCATGACAACTCTGCGAACCTGTTCAGGCAACATGCATGCCTCCTGCAGCTAAGTGAACGTCCATCACGTAACCCTACAGTGGCCTAGTGTAAGCGCGAACTCTTCTCATAGCTCGCCTCGGCTTGCCATTTGGGTTTTGTAGGCCCCTACATCCTAAATTCTCCGATCCGAAGCTCTCGAGCCTGGATCTTGAGGTACATGATTCCCGCGTATGAGTCGTGCATGCTGAATGGGCACTGAGGGTTCCCCTTCAAGGCTTAGGGTTTCAAAGCTCACATGCCTGGGTATTACTGGGTTGCTGTTAAGGAACTTAGTTTAAGTTACTCTATGGGGGGAACCATATTAATTACCATATATACCCGTTATGGTAACTTGATTTAAGTTCCTTAACAGCAACCCAGATTATTGCTATTTGTGATGACCGTGTCTCAGGGTCAATGCATGCATGCTAGCCTGTACACATCTCTCAAGGAGCTGTGACCACATTGCGTCAACACAGCACGTCTCACAGGAAGTTTGCTTCAACTGCTACATACCTTCTTTGTTCCGGGCATCGTTGCAAGGGCCATTGACCACCCAGATGATCTAGTTCCTATCAATCCTGGAATCCGTCCCTGTGGGTGGCTGGCATGGAAGCAGCACCCGCTTTTGGACCTCAGAAGCAAGTGTTCCCTCCTGGCAGTGCGTTGCTTTTTCGCGTTTAATTTGGCTTGCCACAGCTTCGCCTCAAGATGTGAGCATGAGCAGTTTAACGCTGGCCCTTCTGTTTGGGCTTCAAATACACCACCTGTCCCGGAAGTTATGGCTCCAGTTCTGGCAGCAGCGTCAGAATTTCAAGGCAAAACTCCCACATGGATAATAAAACCCCTATATAATCCCAGCTTCCATTTCATTTTCCATTTTCTTTTCCATTTGATTCTCCATTATTGGGGGGTCATATCCCAATATAACCCCTATTATGGGAACCGGAAGCAAAGGCGAACCATGTTCGGGGAAGCTTCCCGGCAAGCCTTTTTGCAGCTGAGTTTCACCGAACTTGCGTCATCCATATACCCTTCTATGAGGTGTAAATAAACATTTGCATGGGAGGAGGTGCAATGCCTTTGTGCCTTGTTTTTCTAGATAGGGTTTAGATCCAAGTATAATCTGGTACAGGAGTTCACGGTTTAGGGCCCGGCCTCTTGTGCATTCAGCAAGCCCGAATCCAAGCTCTCTATTTGGAAGCAAGGGGAGGTTCCCCCCCCCCCCCCCCCCACAGGCAATGCATAGACGTGATGTTTGCTTGCAGCTTGCTCGAGCCAACACATGCTTGCATACGATATTCTTTCATAGCCTCATGCTTCGCGGGCAACCATCTCAAAGCCGAACCACATTAACGGTCCCTCCGTGCCAAGTCTACATGTTTGTCCGTCCACCAAAGGACGGACATGTCTGTGCTGGCCGCCTTTAACCAGAAGTTCATAGCTGTGTACCACACTTAGCCAAGATCTCTTGAGAGCCCGTAGCTGATTGCGGCGCCAGATCCACGAAGAGTTGCCTGGACGCACAGACTTCCGGGTTCAGGGCTTTGGGGTTAGGCTTCAGGGCTTTGGGTTTAAACCCGCGCAGCCCCCTTGTAAAAGAACCTTGGTCTGAACAGGGCTGTTGGGGTTCCATATTGGTTGGGGGGAGTGCAAGGGATAGTGCTGTGCTTGCTTGGTCCCCTTCATCCTTCAAGAAAGTGTGGGTGACGGGTCCGGGGCTTCAGTGGTTTCTGCCGAGTTTTTCTCTTTGGGGCGGTTAGGGTGCGGACGAAATATGGGGTCACCAGACTTCACATGCTTCAGTTGGAAGGATTCTGGAACAGGGAATGCTTGCTTACTGGTAGTCATTCTGCTCCACCCTTAGCCCTAAACCTCCTGAACTTCAGGTCTGTTCTCTGCATCCTCTTCCTGCCCTCCACACTCCTCTTCATCCCTTCCTCCCCTCAGGAATTGCACTCTCCCTTGCTACCTTCCTACCCTAAATCCTAAACCCTCAAAACTTTATCCACCTATCCACCTCCTTACTCGCCTTTGCCCGAGGTCTTTCAAAAATGGATGCGGCTGAAGGCCAGCCTGCATCACTGCAGCTGTCAGCCCTTGACAGAAGGGTTGCCAGACTTCCCTGGGTTGCTCTGAAGGAACTTAATCAAGTTACCATAATATGGGTGTATAGGGTTTAGGGTTTAGGGTAACTGTAATATGGGTATATAGGGTTTAGGGTGTAGGGCTACCAAAATATGGGTTACTGGTAAATGATAGGGTTTCCTTATTATGGTAACTTAAGTTGAGTTCCTTGTCAGCAAGACAGTTCAGGGCCTTGCAGAGCCGTCAGCTGGGTGGAGTTGGTTTGCCGTTTATGCTTGGGGCGCACCGACTTTGCAAGTAGCTTGCGTTGGGCAAAGTTTTGTCATGGTTGCTAGAACCCTCAGCCCTAAACCCTAAAGCCTTGGAGAAAAGGTCCAACCCTAAACGCTAAACCCCTAAACCCCTAAATTCCTAAACCCTAAACCCCTTAACTAACTTGGGACCAAGCCGGCTGCCCTGCTTTATTCAAGCATCATGTTTGTTTGTTTTTTTGATGCTAGGGTTTAGGGGTTTAGGGTTTAGGGTTGGTGTGCTTCTGAGGAGGGATAGAGTGGTTCCGCCGTTGTGTCTGCTTCCTGGAAGTCCGTTTGCCCAACATTGAAGCGATGGCTTCAAGGAAAAGTAACAAAATATATGTAACCTTCATTCGCTCAGCCGTCTTCTGAAGGAAGACAGGTTCCCCACCAACAAAAATAGGATGAACTTTTGTTTGTTGTTGCAGTCTTTTGCAAGACGCATGCAATCTTACAAGATCCAAGCACTGCCAAATACTGTGATTAGGTGCTCAGACGGGAATGATGGAATGGGGTTTAGGGGCAAATCTCCAGGGACCAGTAACACATTGGTTCATTTACTGGTTCCCTACCGAGCACCAGGTAGACTATGACTACTCAACTTTCTGAATAGTCATTTACCGCGCGGCTGCGGTTGATGCTGCTGCTGCTGCTGCTGCTGCTGCTATTGCTGATGGTTCTCCGTGCCACAGGTGCAGGTATCTAGATGTTTACGGATTTGTTTTTGAGGCTCGCTCTCTATAACATTCATGAAGCTTGAAGGTGGATTTCTGCCCGACTGTGAACCAGAAACCCTCCGAAAAGGTAGAGGTATTCGTTTCACGTGCTCTCTCGGCTGCTGCACGCGGTGCAATGTCCAGACAGTCCAGCAGCCCTGATACCAGGAAGCACTCTGCTCTGGCAGTGAATGTTCTATAGGTATAAGCTTAGACTTTGTAGTCACGAACCAGCTGCTGTTTTCAATGTTTGGGCGAGGGTGGGTCTACTTGCTAGAGGAGTGGATTATCTCACACTAAACCCTGAAGCCTCAAACCTAAACCCTACACCCTGAACCCTAAAGCCTCAAACCTTAACCCAAAACCCTAAAGCCTTAAACCTAAACCCTGACCTGTGTCCTTGGCAGGTAGGCTATCGCGAGAGAGACAGCAGGCCTATAATCTGGATGGATGGGTTTAGGGCAAATAATCTATAGTCTAACCTACTTGAAGGGGGGCTATTAATGTGGATGCTAGGAGTTTAGACCATGGCACAAATAATTTATAGTGACCTAGTAGCCGAGCTCCATGGGAGCTTTCATTTTGGGATTATATAGGGGTTAGGGGTAATATTAGGGATATGTAGGGGTTATATGGGGAAAATGGAAAAGAAATTGGAAACTACTATGTACTCGTCATTTCTTGTACGTATCTCTCTCTTGCTAGAACGCTTTCAAAGTGGATATGTGCATATATGGCTTTATATGGAATTCGGATAGTTTCCCGATTCGTAGGAGTACGAAGGGCCCTTGCGGCATTGCTGCCGACCTGCATTACAGTAGAAGATTGCATCATCGGGAGCATCAAGCCGTATAGTCCTTACATGGTAAAAGTTTACTATGAAACCCTGTTCAAGTGATTGAGGCTTCTGCTGTGCGGCCTTGCGGCCTTGCAAATTCCCAATACAATCCCAGATTTCACCTGGTGGTTTCCATGAATGGGGGGACCCCAAGAGATACAACCATCCTTGTAATAGGGACCGGCCCAATTTATTTTCGCTATAGCAATTGCTAATAATGTTAATAGTATTCGTATCGTTGCTATTATCACTACTGGTATCATTATTGGTAGTATTACGGTGGCTATTATTAATACAACAACTACTATTCTTGTTTACATCCTAAGTCTAACCTTATTTGTAATCCTTGTATAACCCCTACAAAATCCCTTGCAACTCCTATACAGGTCTTATAGAATCTCCGAAAGAATCTCCGATAGAACCCTTGAAGCCCTCTAATCCCTTTAGGATCACCATAGAAGCCCTCTACAACACCCATATCATCCTGACTACAGTTTCTTTATACAATCCCTAAACCCTACATCCGAAGCCCCACATTCTGAACATTAAATCCTAAGACCTCAAACCCTAAACCCTTAAACCCTAAACCTTAAACCCTTAAACCCTAAACCCTAAAACCTCAAACTCAAAACCCTTAAAAAGGCATACAGAACCCTGTTTTTGGGTAGGCCATGGCCATGACGCAATTCCAACAGATCCTGGAGTCTCAAAAGACGGTCACCAAGCCTCGGGCTCAGGTTACGGCTTCAGACTTGAGAGAGTAAGGAGTTTAGGCCTTAGGGGCTTAGGAGTTTAGGCTTTAGGGGCTTAGGGTTTAAGAGTTGAGGAGTTTAGGAGTTTAGGCTCTAGGGGCTTAGGGTTTCAGAGTTTAGGGTTGAGGGTTTTGAGGTTTAGGGCTTAGGGGTTTTCGGGTTAAGGGTAGAGAGACCTCATCCGCCCTCACCGTAAATGGTGGTTCACTTAGACAAGCATTTCAAATTGGCTTTTATTCAGGCGTTACAGTGAATATGAATTGATAAGTCCACCTAGGATGTAGGTGTGGCTTTGGGTGTAGGGCTTGGGAGTTTAGCGCTTCAGCGTTCAGGGATTCAGAGGTTGGGGCCGTGGAGCGTGGGGGTTTTTAGGGGCGTAGGGGGTTTGCGCTTTTGGGGCTTTAGTTTTCACAAAGGTGGAAACTACTACTCGCCTTGGGATAGAAGTTTAGGGTTTAGGGTTTAAACCCTGAACCCTTAACCTTAGGGGGCTTTGCAGGTTGAGGGTATGGGGGATTCGGGTTTAGGGTTTG